GCAGTATACCTACCATAACTCAGTGAACACGCCTCAAAATGCCGAAGGAGTATGATATTCGTAATCAGCATGTCAATAAGCCCCCCTCAAAGTTTCAGCGAAATCCATGATTTTAGCTTCTTATGTGTACTACCCAACGTAAACCAAGCAAATGGCGCTAGCGCGAAATGACTACGATAGTCGTCATCAGCAGCTTCAATAATACCCATGTACCAGTGGCGGTCCCAGGATTTCGGACCGGGGGGGGGTCGACAAAAATTTTTTCACATGGAGGTGCGTGGCGTCAGCCACGCACTCCGAAAATTTTTTTGGGGTGCTCCTCAAAAATTTCGCGGGTCCCCAACCCCTAAAATCTGGAAAAGGGGGGCGTGGCTGACGACACGCCCCCGAAAAAATTTTGCTTATAAGGCCAATTTGAATTTTTAAAAAATTTTAAAAATTATTTTAATTATTTACAAAGATAAACAAGTCGTTAATGAAGTGAACACAAGTAGTTCAACCAAAAAGTTATGACTATCGAGCTATCTCGTGCAACAAAAAAGCCTTGAGAGGAGTGAGGAAAGCAATGACTGAAACTAAGATACTTTGTTAATTTTTACTTGGCATTACTAACCTCCTTCATATCAAATCGGTCAACGATTTAAAACATAGAATGCTGGGACGAGTCCTACGTATGATTATGCTACGAAAGCGCAACAGGTGTCCCATAACGAATGCCCTGTTAAAGGAGACAGTACTGTATCAAACCACTCAGACACTCGCGCCGACCGGCGACCGTTCGACGACGCACCTCCGGCCACTGTGCAAAAGCTCGGGAAGCGCACAAGATTGTGCGTACAGTAGAAAATAATTTCAAATATTGTGTGCTTGAGTCTTCTGAGCAGAAGACTTCTTTTTATCTGTTCTCCTTTGTTATTCTTGGGGTTTTTTTTTACTTCGGTTGCGTTGCGTTTTATGTGGGTCTGCCTCTGGAAAGACAGTATCATGCTTTGGGGTCACTTGGAACAAACTTTGAGATCTGAGTTGATGTAGCCTATCTTTATTATGATTCCACTCATTGCCCTCTTTTTTTCAGATTTGATCAGACTCCATATTGTTCGTGATCTCTTCTTTCTATCCTGCTCTTTTTGACTTGAATGGCGAAAAAGAGGACGTCAGTGAGTTCCAATGCCTTTTTGCTGTGAGGTGAATTCTATATGTCGCGTCACCGTACGAACTGAACAAGTACAACTACACGATAAGTTTTTCAGGAGACAGCTGCAATATGCATTTTGTTTGAGTTCTAGCTTTTATGATAGAACTATAGTATGTTTTCGTGAAAACTAATATGGCTATATGACTTTAACACGTTGACGACAGTGCCGCACAATGGTGCGCGGCAGGCAGTCTGTCCCTGTGGACGACGCCGCGCAATGGTGCGCGGCGGCCCTAATTTCAATACTATCTGTCCAATCCCCTCAGTTTTTGTTCATATAACCAACATAGGCTCAGATGTATCTCATGTATTAGCCCCGCCCCTTTTTGGCAAACTCCGCCCACTTCTATACCCCTCACAAGGACCCTTTTTGTTCATAAAAAGCATGGATGAGGCCGTAGATGAACGCAAAGACCTCAAGTAACTTTTATACGGCCCCGCCCACCGTCAGGCAAACTCCGCCCCCTGATTGGCAAGCTCCGCCCACTTTTCAAAAATGCCGGAATTTGCACGAATTCATTGATTTTGAGCGATTTCCAGCATTTTTGAAAAGTGGGCGGGGCTTGCCAAAAGTGGGCGGAGCTTCCCCGCCCACCTGCATTTTTGTATCTCACGCATAGATGCATGCATACATATATGCAGCCGGCTGTGAAAATGCCCGAAAACGGTTCGTCCACGGGGACAGACCTTCAAAAAATGGCTCGTCGTCAACGTGTTAATGAATGCTCTTTTCTATGATCCTCACTGCTGCGAATCGTGGACAGGGTCTGGCACCAGCTGGCATGGGGCAAGCTGGATATCGTTTTTGGGGCAAAAAGCAAAGGGGGTTTCGTTTTTGTGGGCGAAGATATACACAAAATTGGTGATGGCGACCTTTTTTTTTAGTCGACGTTTCGTTTTCGGGGTTTTTTTAGGATTTTAGAGGGGATATCGTTGAGAATCAAAGGGGACTTCGTAAAAATTAGCAAATTTCAAGGGGGACTTCGTTTTGAAAATTCCCTGGTGCCAGCTCATGCCGAGCCCTGATCGTGGACTATTCCTGTTTTGCTGAGTATTCTGTTTATCTAGAGGTCGTTGATCTGTTGGCTTCTGCTAAGTCGGACTATCTGATATTTTAGCGCAATTCTGCAAATCCGATGCTTAAGGCTGCTCGACGCATAGCAAAAGAAGTAAGTTCTTTGTGACTATCATTTGATTGAAATTAGCATTGTAGTGTATTCTAGGCGATAGGATCATCTGCTCAAACCGTGTGCTGTAAACGCATCTGTTTTGATACTGTTCTGCTAACAGACGTTATTTGAACTCTATGCATAGTTGTAAGTTCTGGTACCACTGCAAACTGTCGATAGTTTGTTTCATTTTGGTTATCGAATGTATCTTATCAATGGTCGTATGCGTTCGAAAGAACAAAAATTCTATGACTGACCTTCTAGCCAATTCGGAGTGGCTGTCCACCGTATGATGAACCACTTGCCTTGAATGATCTTTCTGTACGATGAAAATCACGAGCTTTGAATCTATCCTACATGGATATGTGTGCAACAGTCTTTTTTTTTAACCAATGTGTCTTCACATTGTATCTTTTGGCTGTAATAAATACGTCGTTATAGGTTCTACTACCCCTCACTAAAATTATAGTGCTGAACGAAAGCTAATTAGAGAAATAAATGCTGCGGCCCAGTGCCATTTCGTTGCGCCAGTGACGCATACCGGCTGGCAGCCGTTCGACTACCGGCTGGCGGCCGGCTGGCGACTGTTCCGGCCGAAATGTCGGCGACGGACTAGCCGGCCGTGGAACGATCGCCGGCCGGGGCGAGTGTCTGAGCAGTGCGACTGCGAGGTCTGTTCTGTAGCGAATCGCTGGGATCACAAGGGATGCTAATGTCTGTAAGTTGCGTAATATGTATGAGCGGCTCCATAACTTTGGCGAGGCGGAGCTGCGCTAGCGTGCCTTGCGTTGCGGTGGCCCTGTGCTAAGGCATACCTGATCCATCGATCTTTGGTGAAGATCACGACTCCGCCTCGCCAAAGTTGGGGAGTCGACAATATGTTACATGTATGAGTAAGTAAATTTGTTTTCTGTTGCCCAAACCATCGCGTTCCCTATCGCCTTTTTGTCAGGAAACTTGTGCGTAAAATGGGTGAGACTGTTGAATTCCACCAGAGGCAGACGCCAGATTTCTCCGCTTCATAATTTGTCAATCAACGAGACAAACTGTGAACAAGGCGCGGCGGGTGGCGCTTTCACAAGCTGGATATCGTTTTTGGCCCGAAAAACGGACCCCAAAATACGAATCCCCTTTGCTTACCGATAAACAATGCACATATCATTCTTTATTCATCATTCCTTGTTGATGCTACTGTCCTATGAACTTAGATCCCAGCAATGTGAAGATTCTATGCTCCGATCGCTAGCCTGCCCGCAGGCGGGAATTCAAATCGCAATTCTTGTAAGAGGAAAACAACAAAATAGGCTCGTTTTCAATGCACAAGTAACGATATGGCACCAAATTTGCTGTGTAGTTGGAGGACCAGGAGCACAAAAAAAGTATGAAGAATAATGAGAAACTTATGCAAATTCAAACAATGGTAAGTGTTTTTCGAAATTAGGTGGCTCCCGCGCTACCTGGGAGCCACCTGGGGTGGCTCCCTGCTTCCCTTCACATAATTTCCCGGATTTCTTTACATAAATGTGGACTAGGTCGAGAGTATTACCATATGTTCAAATCCGCTTCCAAAACCACCAAGGCACCGCTTCGATACAGCCCCAAATAGGGTTCATAGCGTTATGATCGGCCTCGGAAAGCGCGCTCCAATCGCGATCGGTTATTGTAAATTGTAAAGTCTCGCAGCTGACTAATAAATGAGTAGTATCTTAGATATATAAACGTCAAAGTTTGTGCAAATCTTGACCCTATGTTTTTTTATAGATTCCTTTGCGGATGAACCCATTGAGCTGAAACCTTGATGACCCGGGCTGGACCAGGAAAGCCAGGTAGTACTACTATAATAAGCGCTGAGGCCGCCCATCTTATTATTTGTGTATATCTGTTTGTCAGGGACTTACGGGGGTCAAAAATAGGGTCAAAGGGGAAGTTGTAAGAAACTTTGGCTTCAAAGGGGATATCGTTTTCAAAATTCTGAAATGCCACCTCCTGCCGGGCCCTGACTATGAAGCGTATGCGGATAAGTCTCAGAAACCCGTCATACTTCGCCGAAAAAAGCCCAAAAGAGCCCCAAAAAGCACAAAGAGTCCGAAAAAGCCCAAAAAGCGCCAGAAAGAGCTGGAACGCTCCCTTCCGTTTTGACGCTAAGGCATGTGTGTTGATTTCGCAACCGAGTTTTTTTGCTTCATTTTCGTCGTCTGCACATCAAAATAACGTTAACATTCGACCATAAGTCGTTCTTGAGTTCCCGCTCTTTCGGGCTTTTCAGTTTTCTTTGCGCTTTTCGGGCTTTTTTGGGCTTTTTTGAGCGCTTTTGGGCTTTTTTCGGCGAAGTATGACAGGTCCTTCACCCCTGCCATCGTACAACAAATATCGAACATGTTACAGCAACTGAAACTATATGATCAACAACTGGTTTTGGTGAAGAAGTTTACTATTTGATAGGCATACTTCAATATTGCGTGATCAGTAGAGGTTGCAAAGACCAAATTCTTTTACCAAATTATCAACTACGAGTGCTAAATCCGAACCTCTGTCACCTAAGCAGTGATGGTTGTGGACTCGTGTAGGACGGCACTAGCAAATGCCCTAACGTGTAAAGGAAAAGGTTTACTAAATGTAACTAACAAACAAGCCAGCCCACACAGGCACATTCACGATGTAGTAAGCAGCTGCTCACAAATCGAGTTGAGACCACTTCTTTTTGTAGGTTTATCACATCATCGTGATTAGCCGTAGCTCACCGTGTAAATAGCCGCACCTCTTCGTAAAACATGGACATTCGCACAAAAACAGAATGCTTTGGGGAGTTGTACAACCGTGAGGACATTGCACCACAGAAAGCATGATCATAACAGAGGAACAAGGAGAATAGCGATGCAAGCGTAAAGACCTCTCATTTTACTAGAACACCTTCGTCACATTCTTTGAAGACTAAGACGTCACACTGCATCCACCAAAAACAAAGTCGCAAGTCCAACAATGATAATGATATTCGGAGAACTGACAATCAACATTAGAATGACTGTGTTATTCCCGCTTAAAAAAACATAATGAAAATGCACGAGTACGATGACACTCCTTGACCAGAGCTATACATCCCGGCGGCTACAAAGTCCATAACAAAGCTACAGAACCAATTAACGTGCAGAACTTCCGCGCTAATCGGCAAGCAATGAAAACCAAACTTATCTCCTTCATTCATTATAACAGATGTAACAAACTCTTAAGAGCACCAGAAACATATCTTTGAGAGAGATCATACATAATATACAAGAGAGAACAAGAAATGCGGTTAATTGCAACATTATGCAGATTAAAGCATTCGCAAATGCGAGAGTTCATATCCCGCAACGTAAAACTTCCAAGCTGAGAAATATCTGACATGAAAAAAAAACGAAATTTTCCGAGACGGTATAGCAAGAAAAACAGGGTATATAAATGGTGTACTAGCGCTTAGCCGTCACAAATGTTCGTCACATTGTTGTAAACAAGATAAATGCTGCTGCAGCTGATAAGTCATTGTGTTCTCTCAAAGTTCATTTCCTTCTGAGCGTGCAAAAACTTCCAGATCCTTGACTGCAAGCAAACACTGTTGTGCTCGGAGATACACCACTCTCCTACAAAAATGGGGTGGAAGAACGAACACCTCAATTAGGCACCGCCTCCGCGGACCACTGGTCCCAACACGATGCACAACAACAGGACGAAAGGACCAGCAGCTCGAGGAGGCGATGCCTAATTGAGTAGAGGACTATGTGTCGCCGAAAAAGGGCGATCCCCGCGATCATTTGCGACAAATACGCACCCTTATATATGCGCGGACATGCGTTCCTGCAGGAAGTCCGCGCGAGACTCTTCCACATTCGGCGGCATATAGTCCTCCACCCCTAATTGAGGCGTTCGTTCCTCTACCCACCAAAATGTTCGCAGATCTTGACATGATGCTCCCGACAATAGCAATGGTGAGAAACATGACTACGATTAAGCTGCTGGTGATGATGATGATGCTGATAATGATGTGAAGATGATAAAGATGATGGTGATGATGATGACGATGATGATGACGATGATGATGATGATGATGATGATGACGATGATGATGATGATTATGATGATGATGATGATGATGATGATGATGATGATGATGATAATGATTATGATAATAATGGTGGTGATGATGTTGCTGATAGCAATGATGATGATTATTAAAGGAGATGATAAACCATGTCACAAATGACGACAACAGTCTGTCGTGAACAAAAAGATTAGTAATGGAGGTTAAGCACATCGTCAAGCGTGTGCAATGCATGCTAATAGGGCGCAAAGCGGTTGATGCTCCGATACGCCTGATTGATAGGATAGGCAGGAAGAGCAGCAGTGAGGGCTTGTCCAAGGTATTGCTCACCAAGAGAAGTACCTGCCGAGGTGGGGATACGCGCTGAAACACAGCGAGATGATTGCCATGCACATGCATTGGTGCACCCGAAAGACATAACATGCAAATCACTGCTTAGGTGACTGCGCAAGAGAAACAATACCTATACTCACCTTGCGCTGCCGCAGCGAGCTGAAGTCGAGCCTGCTCAGTCAACAATGCTGCTGCTGTTTGATCAGAAGCAAACGCAGCTTGCTGCAGAGCAGCGTTTTGCTGAAACCCAGCAGCTCCAAGCAGTAGATGCTGTCCTTGCAAATGAGTAGTGGTAAGTGAATTGCCAGTTATCGGAAGAGGCACAGATGACTGCGGCAATCCAGTCAATATTCCACTTCTTGCTAACAAAGATTGGGCAACCAATGGATTTCGCATGTATAAAGCTCGCGTCACTTGAGCTTGAGCAAGGGCAGCATTTTGTAAGGCCGATGCAGTCATGGCCTGATCCAGCACCCCTAAATGTTGTGAAATGTGTTAGGAAGGCGCGTTAGAACGCTCGAAGCTATCAAAGAAGGTTATCGTAGTCGTTATGATTACCGGGCAATGGTTTTACTTTCTTCGAGTGTATTCGGGCGGTTGCGCAATTTACTTCCACTTTCCTTCCCTCCACCATGGAACCATGAAGCTCCTGCCTAGCCTTTTCAGCATCTGCAGCTTTCTCCATTGTAACAAAACCAAACCCCTGGAAATGCAGCTGATTGAAGGCAGCAGAGTCCAGGCAAATTTGACACGTAGGCTTGCAATGAAAGACTACTGTGAGGCTCTGAGGCACTGCCCAAGTGGTGGTAGAGCAAATGATTCATCCGCTACCTAGAAATTCTCCGAATCTTCCCAGCTATCGTAGCAGCGGACGATTTGCAACGTCTTGCATGCTTTTTGCGATGACCCGTCATGGGGCAATGGTAATCGCACACCAGCATGCAAACTGGTGCAAGTCGTCCACTAAATAAAGTAGCGAGGAGCCGGGACGCTGACTCAATGCTAAGCAAGCAAAAATCGATATTTTGCAAAAAATTCACACTCACCTTGCTTCCTCTTTCGTTGAATATGATCTCCACATCAATCACAGAACCAAACTTTTCAAACATCATCCTTAAGTCAGGATCGCGGAATCGAAACGGTATGTTGGAAACGTGGAGACGTTTTGGAGCCGTATCTAATCCTCCTGAAAGTGATAATGTAGAGCGAAAGAGCAATACACCTCTAATTTCGTCACATATGGTCTTCAAACCTCTGTTATGAACTAAGCAGGCTGCCGAGATGCCTCATTTTGATCAAGAAAGAAATACTACTCACCATCTGTTTCGCTACTTGTGCCGGGGTCAGGCTGAGGAATGGATGCAACCTGTGAGTGAGATGAAGGAAGTTGCGGACCTATCCCAGCCAGCTGTTGCTGAATCTGTATTTGAAGATCGAATTCAGCTTGTTGCTCTTCCTAAAAAGCGAAAATATGAATTTTGGACTGTACAAATGATGCAGGCATAGCATAGACCCTTCTGAGATGACAACGACTGCTCAACAATATAGGAAGGATACCAACTAGATCTGGCACACCTAGTAGAGATGTATGTCACTAGACGCGTTTTCAAATGCTAATTCGGACTTATGGAGAGCTTGGTTTACGTGTTGTGTTTCACTGCTCTTATGCGTAAAATCACACTAGATGGCTTACCCGGCTCCGCTCGGCCCTGTCAAAATCTTATATATAAAGCTGAATGTCTGTTTGTATGTATGTCTGTCTGTCTGTCTGTCTGTATGTCTGTCTGTACGTATGTTCCGAATAGAAAATTCCATTTCTGAACCGATCCGGACCAAACTTGGCACACATACACTAAGGGCTCCGGCGGGTGTCATAGGCTACTTTTCGTCATCTATCGATATCGATTTTATCGATTTTTAGCAAAATTTGAGCTACGGGGCTGGGAGTTGGCACAGGGGGGTAAGTGAGCATGGGGATTCCGAATACAATATTAGTTTTTAGAATCGTGCATTACTTTTATCGATTTTATCGATTTTTTGCAAAATTTGAGCTACGGGGCTGGGAGTTGGCACAGGGGGGGGGGGGGTAAGTGAGCATGGGGATTCCGAATACAATATTAGTTTTTAGAATCGTGCATTACTTTTATCGATTTTACCGATTTTTTGCAAAGTTTGAGCTACGGGGCTGGGATTTGGCACAGGGGGGTAATCGAGCATGCTGATCACCCCCGTGGGGGTGATCAGCATGCTCGATTACACCCCTCTGCCAAATCCCAGCCCCCTAGCCCAAATTTTGCAAAAAATCGATAAAATCGACATCAATCGATAACGAAAAGTGAACTGTGACACCCGCCGGGGCCCGAGGTGTATGTGTGCCAAGTTTGATTCGGATAGATTAAGAAATGGAATTTTCTATTTGGAACATACGGCGGAGCCGGGTAAGCCAGCTAGTACTATGATAAAGCTCCCATCCCTATCTCTGTACAACCTTTCTCTCCCACTTCTACATACCAACTCCAACTTCCTACTCCAACTGTGTTAGCTATCAGCATGCTCATATCCCAGTGCGAATTCCCAGCCGCAGCTCAAAATTTACAGAAAGAAAACACGATAAAATAGAAAAAAGTGAAGGATAATTTCGAGAACTAATATTGTATTCGTAATCAGCATGCTCAATTACCTCCTGTAACTCCCAGCCCCGTAGCTCAAAATTAGCAAAAAAAAATCGATAGAACTAATGAATAATTTTGAAGGCACCGTCACCCAAATTCTCGACTTCCATGTTTTGGTCGCTTACAGGCCTTGTGAAGGCCCTGATCTTCAATATGAAGTCGAAAAATCACGAAACCCCCAAAAATTTCCGTTTTGGAGAACCGGGCGGACGGTGCAAGTGCAAGTCGCAGGGCTGCGGCGCTGTTATACGCCCGGAGCATATCAGCGCCGTAGCCCGTCAAATCTGCAAAATGGGCGAAGTGACTAGCTGGATGGAGTGAGCAGCTCCGCAGCGTCCCTTCCGGAGCAAATTTCTCGCTCTGGAAGCAATCTTTTGCGGGGAAACTTGGGGGGGGGGGGCATAATGTGGAGGCCCACATTAGTATGCCATCGAATCTCAAACCCACTTTGGGTGGAAGGTGCCTTTAAGAACTAATATTGTATTCGTAATCAGCATGCGCAATTAGCACCCTGTGCCAACTCCCAGCTCTGTAGCTCAAACTTTGCAAATAAATCGATAAAATCGATAAAACTAATGGATAATTTTGAGAACCAATATTGTATTCGTAATCAGCATGCTCGATTACCCCCCCCCCCCCCCTGTGCCAACTCCCAGCCCTGTAGGTCGAATCTTGCAAAAAAATTGCTAAAGATCGATAAGATCGATATTGATCGATAACGAGAAGTAGCCTATTGACACCCGCCCCATCCCGAAGTGTATGTGTGCCAAATTTGGTCTGGATCGGTTCAGAAATGGAATCTATTCGGAACATTTGTTATTCGAGTCATTTGTAACTTAGACCCGTATGCACGTACATCCCCGCGGGGAGGGGAGGGGACCTGAGAGGAGAAGCGTATTCATATTCACTGCTCTAGGTATCTTTCTTCTTTCTTCTCTATCGTGCTTATGAGGGTTCTCGTACCCTTATACCTGCGCATAATAGATGCCAGGTTACTATTACATACAAGATTAAATCACTACGTAATATATAACGAATTCGTTGTTTACCCATTAAGCCGCCCGATAGTTGGATCATGGCAAACGAGGAGGCCGCAGACGTAAAAATTATGATGAAATACACTGATCTTTGGAATTGGATTGCTGCCATTAGCGGTGAGTAAGTCAGTTGGCACGATGCCAGATTTTCGTAAGCCTTTGGAACGGTGCCAAATTTCGTAAGTATGGGCAACTGAAACAACACACATGCATAACGGCATGTTTCGGGCGTGTTTTCGATCGATATCGTCATTATTTTTCACGTCTGCAACTTGGTTGGTTGTCTTGTGTAACCATCCTAGGAACTGTTCTAATTTCTACCTTCATTTCAAATATGTTTTACTTTTATTAGTTGCTTTTGAAATTATGCAAAATTGCGTAACAGCGTGACTTGAGCTAAATTCATCTATGTTCCCAACTCTTGGTAAAAATGCTCTAACTAATTGTAAGAACAGTCATTCTAGGATTGCCTTGCTTCCACGTGTAGACAGGAGAGTGCGTGAGTAACTTAGTCTCGCTGGTACTTTTGGAAACGTTTATCTAATAACAGCCTTCCTTTTGCTTGTTAATGGGTCCCGCTGGTGCTTTCAGCTAGGAATATCGGTGGCATCGGGCAGGGAAACAGATTTTTGTACGCTTGGGGCAGTTCTCATATTTTTTAAATGGTCTTTAAGCGGCACGTAGGGCAACTCGGTCGGGCGAAACAGATTTTTGTACGTTTGGGGCAGTTTTTGTAATTTTAAACGGTCTCCAAGCGGCACGTAGGGCAACTTGATCGGGCAGGGGAACAGATTTTTGTACGTTTGGGGCAGTTCTCATATTTTTAAATGGTCTTTAAGCGGCACGTAGGGCAACTCGATCGGGCAGGGAAACAGATTCTTCTACGTTTGGGGCAGTTCTTATAATTTTTAAATGTTCTTCAAGCGGCACGTAGGGCAACTCGATCGGGCAGGGAAACAGATTTTTCTACGTTTGGGGCAGTTCTTATAATTTTTAAATGGTCTTCAAGCGGCACGTAGGGCAACTTGATCGGGCAGGGAAACAGATTTTTCTACGTTTGGGGCAGTTCTTATAATTTTTAAATGGTCTTCAAGCGGCACGTAGGGCAACTCGATCGGGCAGGGAAACAGATTTTTCTACGTTTGGGGCAGTTCTCATATTTTTAAATGGTCTTTAAGCGGCACGTAGGGCAACTCGATCGGGCAGGGAAACAGATTCTTCTACGTTTGGGGCAGTTCTTATAATTTTTAAATGGTCTTCAAGCGGCACGTAGGGCAACTCGATCGGGCAGGGAAACAGATTTTTCTACGTTTGGGACAGTTCTTATAATTTTTAAATGGTCTCCAAGCGGCACGTAGGGCAATTTAATTGGACAGAGAAACAAATTTTTGGTACGTTCATGCAATTCTTATAATTGAGGGTCTTTAGGTGGCTCAGTAGTCGTGCTTTTTGGGGAGGGATCTCCTTTTGTAGTAAAGCTTCATATTCCTTTGGCGAAAATATTGAAGGATTTCCTGACAAAGTCCTTAGACGATCGATTTCGTTGCTGTCGGAGTTGATTCTGAGAGAAAAGTGTTTTTTGTAGTACACAGTTGTTGTGGGTGTATTTCTACTTCCAAAACGATAGGTGTTCTTCTACTTCCTTGACGATCTTCTATGGAAGTTGTTGAGAAAAACTGGAAGAGCACATTTTTTTTTGATTTGGTAGAAAAGATGGGGGGGGGGGGGTTATCTGAATGTCTCTGTGAGGAGGGGAAATTTGCAGAAAGAACGTGGTAAACGAGAAAAAAATATTCCCCATGCATGGTTGCAGCAGAAATTTCGAAAAATGCTGAATGATTTGTGGGGATTATTCTTCTTCGAACATCTCCTTTTGTAGAATGTTTTTCGCAAAAATGTTCTCGGAAAGGCATAGGAAAATTATCTAGAAAAATATATAATCACAATCGTAGCGAACCTATCATGACTGCTCTCTCCCAGCTTTTTCTAGCCGCACCGCTCCGTCCTTTGCTTTAAGATGCTCGAATTTTGTATAGCGTTTTGCTATCTGAGCTCTTTGAGGATTTGCCTCCCCTTTCTCAACTCTTCCCGGAGCCATTTTTCTACAGTGAGTGCTCCCCCCCCCTCCCCCCAAGCTGCCTTAGAACCTCCACCCCCCCCCCCCCCCCCCAAAAGTTCTGAGACTACTCATCTCTTTCCGAAATCAATAGCAAGAAAATTTAAGTTGACTCCTTGAGAATATTTAGCCAACATTCTAGATCTAAAATAATTTTCCTTGGAAGCGTCACAATTCCTCTTTCATTTCAAGAAATTTTACTGTTAAATCTTTCGTTTGCATTTCCTAAGGACTTTTCAAGTCTCACTACGTAATATATAACGAATTCGTCGTTTACCCATTAAGCCACCTGATCGTTGGAACAGGCAAACGAGGAGGCCGCAGACGGAGAAATTATAATGAAATACACTGATCTTTGGATTTGGATTGCTGCCAAGTGGCATGCGTTTTGGAACGCTGCCAAATTTCATAACGAGTGACCAAGCAGGTTTTCGTAAAAGGGTCACACGGGTTTCGAAAGGCAATCATGAGTGTCGCAATGATTTTGAGACTGTGTCGCCAGTGTCCGGGTGTGTTATTTGTACCAGCTTTTTAAAATCGAACTTGTTATCCCAGAATGTGTCTTTCAAACATGTTCTACTCCTATTAGTTGCATTTGAAATAATGCCAAATTGCGTGAAAGCGTGACTTG